CCCCCACGTGGTCTTCCATGCAAATGTCATACTATCATAACGCATAATCAATCAACAATCCACATAGCATAAAATGGGTCGGCCTTGGTGCCTTAGACCCATTGGTATGGTGAGAAGACTCACCTATCATGAATGCTGTGCTGATAAACTAGAATCATATATGTCTCACGTGCTGCTCCAACTCAACTGCCTAAAAGCATCATAAGATAGACTTGTCAAAATCCCAAAGTTACCCTCAAAGTCAACCCTGGTCCACCTTGGTCAAAGTCGAAGTCAACAATCCATGTTGACCTCAACTCGTCGAGTGCATCTAGCAACTCGTCGAGTTCCTACCGAGTCAAGAAGACCTGGTCAAACCCTATCCAACTCACCGAGTTGTTTCATCAACTCACCGAGTTCACTTGATATCTAGAAGGCGGGGAAACCCAACCCGACTTGTCGAGTTCCTAGAGCAACTCGTCGAGTCCCCCTTCCTTTTGATTATTGTGATGATACACTGAATCTAGGGACTCCAGGGCTTAGATCTAAAACCCTAAGGTGTCTAGAAGGATAAAGTTTCCAACTTTACGTTCTAGAACCGTTCCAAATGCTCCAATGCCTTTAACAAAGGTTGGAAAGTTCCAAGGCTTTGCCATATAGTCCAAAACTCTAGGGATCTGAAATCCCTACTTCCCAAAAAGGTTTCTATTCCTCAAAACGTTCCAAACATGGAGGCTTTATGGACATGCATGTCCAATACATGTCCCTAGGTCAAAATGGCCAAAAAGAGGGAAACATGCCCTAAAACCCTTGCATGGTGTCCTTGCTCAACCAAAGGCCAGATCTAGCCCACTTTGGGACCATTTTTCTCTGGAGATTCATAAAGTTGCAAACTTTATGAATCTCATGCATGCATTCAACAAGAAGGGCAGGAAATGAAGGGTAAACTCAAGGTCTAGCATTAAACATTTTGTTGTATTCTTATATTATTTATTATTTTGTCTCGTACCATTAAATGAATTGATGGTGAATTCCAAAGTTCTAGACTACAACTTAACTCTATGATACGGAAGTTAAACCACTTCTTGTTGATGAGATGACACCATTTATGATTCATTCCTATTCCACCTCAGCGTGACTGAAACAATCCATTCTTTCCTTAATTTCTTCTCAATAAAACTTGACGACTCACCGTGATATACCAAAAACTGATAAAAGTTTGAAACAATGTGTCGATGTTTAGTCTATGTACCGTAGACTATCACACACAGCAACCCCTTCTTGCACTTACATTATTCTTTAAAGCTTTATGATTCAGCATAATGTATCATACACCGATAAGAGCTTGAAAAATCTATGCTGATGGTTAAGCAAAAACACCACAACTTATCACACGCATCAATCCATTCTCTCCATAAGTTCTTCTTTAGAATTTTATGATTCAACGTATGAAGCCAGACGCTGATGAGAATTTAAAAAATCTATGTCAATGGGTATATCATTGTCCATGATATATGTGACATCCCCATTTTTACGGCCAGAAAAGACCGATTTGTTTATGCTTTATTTGAAAATCAGAGTGTATATATATATATATATATATATATATATATATATATATATATATATAGAAATATGTTGCAGAATTTGTTCCCAGATTTTACTTGATAAATATGTTATCAAGGCATTTCCGAAGAAATGTATTTTATTCATTTTAAAGCTTTGGGATGTCATCGTTAATACAAAAACATAAGCATAAACAGAACTTACATTCATTTACACTAGTGATTTACATCTCCTTTAATCTCTCAGTGTAACGTAGCTTCGTATCGACACTTGTGATACAAATAACTTGAGTGGGTCAGGTTGGGAAACCTGGTGAGTACATAGGGTTTTCAACCCACAATAATAAAGTTATTGTGTTTTATCATCAAACAATTAACCCAAATACCCATCCCCATTATCTTCTTTATTTCTTAAGGACTTACCCTAAGAATCATCTATCACTCATTCCTAAGGATTCATCTTAAGGAATAGGCACGAAGTACATCGTCGCCAGGTGATGCGACATCGACCTCCGGTGAGTCTTCTGGTCTTCTGCTGCGGCGGAGATATGGACATCACAGTGCAAAGTCGTTAGAGCCGTCCCAGGGACTGTGCCCCAGGAGCGAGCTCCGACGGTCAAGTTAGATCAGCTAGAAGATCTGAGATGGTCCTCCATAGCTGGAGAGAGCCATCTTGGTGCTAGTGGTGGTGTATGGTGGCTGACAGCGGCGGGTGGCGGCTGAGCCACCCGGCCGGAGTATACGGCGGCGGCTGAGCCAAGGGGAAGAGTCCTAGGGAAAGGTATTAGGGAAAAGGGGTCCTCCTTCATGGAGGAGGCACTATTCTACTTATAGTGGACAATTAGGTCAAGGGGAATTGGGTCAGGCCTTGGGCCAACCCAATTCAGGCCCAACAGGCAAGGAGCTGGGCAAGGCCGCCCGGAGGCGCCGGGCAGGGCTGGCGAGCGCGCACCAGGCAAGGCTGGCGGTCGCGCACCAGGAAAGGATGGTAGGGGAGTGCCAGGCGAGGGAGCACCTGGCCGGGCCGGCAGGAGAGTCCCCAGCAAGGCTGGCAAGGGAGTCCCCAGCAAGCCTGGCAAAGGAACGCCATGCAGGGCTGGTAGGAGCACGCCAGGCCAGGATGGCGCGTTAGAGCAGTCTAGGACATGCTAATGGACCATATATCATCAAGTCCCCCCAGTCTAATGTTATTGGTACACGGCCAATGACATCGGACTGGACTTAGTCATATAAACCATGCGTCGTCGAGTCTTCCTAGTCTGATGCGATTGGGTTGCTGACAATCGGATCGGACTAGACAAAGCACCAATACATTAAATAATAGAGAAAACGACTGAACCTCGCCCATGAAAGCCGTGGGGTTGTGCGATGAGCGAAACATTGTTTATGCAGCTTGCGCTGACTTGATACTCCTTCATTGAGAGGAGTGTGAGCCAATCGGTGAGATGCAACATAACTGTTGCTGGCAATGTTATGCAGAGCCAGGCTGCTAAAGAGTGTTACGCGATACTGATGTCGATAAAATGTCGGGTCGGGGTAGCTAATAAGCGTAAGCTTGCCCTTCAGTCCCTAAGACTGTTATCCGACGCAGCCACAAACAGAATGTCACCGATAACCATCTACATAGTCTTCTTTGCATGAGAACCAGTAACTGTCCTGAAGGTGTTTCCAAAGTACACTATACCTAACTGGATTCCCCCCAGTCTGATGTGGGTAGCGTAGGTAGCCGCGTCAGACTATGTTGTCAAACCAATAAACTGTAAGGTTGTTGACCATAATATAAGTGGAAGAGATTCCGAGAGCTGGGCGACTAGGTTGCTAGCGAGGGTCACGCAGTGAGACTATTGTCGATAGCCAGACAACAGAATTGTTGAGGGATAGGCAGTGAGGCTATAGGTTGGGGTTGCATAGCAAGACCGTTTCCGAGAGCCAGGAAACAGAGGTGCTGTGGGATACGCGACGAGGCTACAGGTAGGGTTGCACAGCAAGACCATTTTCGAGAGCCAGGAAACAGAGATGCTGTGGGGTACGCTGCGAGGCTACAGTTAGGATTGCACATCAAGACTATTTCCGAGAGCCAGGAAACAGAGGTGCTGTGGGATACGCGATGAGGCTACAGGTAGGGTTGCACAGCAAGACCATTTTCGAGAGTCAGGAAACAGAGATGCTGTGGGGTCGTAGGTAGCAGGGCCGTTGTCGGGATGACCTTCTTGCTGGAGAGTATCCTCACTATAGCCGAATGTGATGCGGATAACACTTCATCGATCGTCCGAGCACAAGAGAACCATGATGACTGTGAGAGAGGAGACACCGAGATCATGGTGTTAGACGTGGAATAAGCTTGTGATGTGCGACTTATGGTGCGCGACGATGCGCGACTTAGGAGAATAGCTCGGGCTTAGCAGCCAGCGAACATGGAGATGTCATGCGGGAAAAGCATTGCATGTAACAGATCGGGTTTGGCTGCTAACGATCGTAGATAGATCACGCGAGAGAGCATCGTGTGGATGGTCGGAGCATGTTGCCATAATGGAGTCGGGCTGAGAAGCCAGGCGACTCGAGGAAAAGGTACTGGACCTCGCATGCGGAGCTTGCCGCTATAATGGAGTCGAGCTGAGAAGCCAGACGACCCAAGACGAGGGTGATGAACCTCGCATGCGGAGCTTGCCGCTATAATGGAGTTGGGCTGAGAAGCCAGACTACTCAAGACGAGGGTGCTGAACCTCGCATGTGGAGCTTGCCGCTATAATGGAGTCGGGCTGAGAAGCCAGACGACTCAAGACGAGGATGCTGAACCTCACATGCGGAGCTTGCCGCTATAATGGAGTCGAGCTGAGAAGCCAGACGACCCAAGGCGAGGGTGTTGAACCTCGCATACGGAGCTTTCCGCTATAATGGAGTCGGGCTGAGAAGCCAGACGACTCAAGACGAGGGTGCTGAACCTCGCATGCGGAGCTTGCCGCTATAATGGAGTCGGGCTGAGAAGCCAGACGACTCAAGACGAGGGTGCTGAACCTCGCATGCGGAGCTTGCCGCTATAATGGAGTCGGGCTGAGAAGCCAGACGACCCAAGGCGAGGGTGCTGAACCTCGCATGCGGAGCTTGCCGCTATAATGGAGTCGGGCTGAGAAGCCAGATGACCCAAGGCGAGGGTGCTGAACCTCGCATGCGGAGCTTGCCGCTATAATGGAGTCGGGCTGAGAAGCCAGACGACTCAAGACGAGGGTGCTGAACCTCGCATGCGGAGCTTGCCGCTATAATGGAGTCGGGCTGAGAAGCCAAACGAATCAAGACGAGGGTATTGAACCTCGCACGATTGGGTGTAACACCCTACAATATATGTATCTAGCTCGTATGATCAGTTTGGGTTAAAGCGGAATGGTACCTGATGCTTTGCTGCATCGCTAGTCATACTAATAATTGATGCCTCGGTGCCTTGGCTGTTTGTAGAGAGCTATGTGGCGATGCTACTTAGAGCTTGATAGTGTAGCTGCTGTTAGGAGGTGTGTAGCGAAACTGCTGTCAGGAACTGGTCAGCAGAGCCGCTGAGAACTGAGCATCGAGCTGCTAGCGATACATGAGCAGCACGACCACTGAGGGCTGGGCAACGAGACTGCCGAGAGCAGGACCACGAGGATACTCTTTCAATCCGGAATACCAATGTCACCTCGGGGATACACCATCATTCATGGTGTCAGTTCTTTATGTACTTTAACTCTGCCCCTTCAGAATGAAAATCACTTCTGCATAGTGTCATGCCGCCCCCCCCCCCTTTTTCTTGGACGAGGCGAAGAAAGGGAAAGATGGATGTATATCCACTGAAAGCTGAGATACATAGCTGTTGGAAAGAGCTAGGCGACCCAAGTACTAACAAAAACTGGGTAGCGCGGCTGCCGAGAGCTAGGCAGCGCGACTGCTAGTCCGACAACGTAACTGCTGATGGCTAGGCTTTGCAGCTGCTGAGCTGGGCCGCATCGCTACTGAGAGTCAAGCTGCGCAACCGCTGAGAGTCAGGCAGCTCGACTGCTGATGGCTGAGCAGCGAGACTAGCGAAGGCCGGTCAACATGAGTGGGGAGAGCTGAGTAGCAAGACTGCCTGAAGTTGGTCAACACAGCTACTGATAGCCGAGCAACACGATTGTTGAGGGCTATTTCGAAATGCTTCACGAGTAGTGGCAACACACGAGTTGTAGTAGTGTACTACTCTTCTCCTTCCTTTTTTTTGAAACGCTGAGCGGTCTGGATCGCAATACGTATTTTAAAGCGTATTTTATTGAGCGAGGCTTGCGGTGCATGAGTATTAAATTGTTTATTTTGCCTTGTAAAACTGGCCCATGCTTTGTTGATGTAGCCCAACAACTTGAAAGAGCTCACATAAAATATCATAGACCTTATGAGATAGGAGGAGCCCAAATGTGTTGCAACCCAAAATCATTTTTGTTTTGTTGGGCCTCACAAATAATGTAGCCCAAATTCTTTTTTTATATGTTGAGTTGGACCACAAAGCATCTTTTGGAATCCGGTTTAACTTGACTGAATTGAAGCGGACGATCGTCGAGTTGTTGATTTTCCCTTGTAAAAGTAGTCCATTTTTTATTATTGTTGGTATAGCCTGATATAATAAAACATCAATTTGCTAGAAGGCCCAGATATGTTAAAGCCCGATTGAATGTGGACAACCCATTTTCTAGGTAAGCCCATTTGTTATTTGTTTGAATGTATTAGGGCTAGGCACAGACCCATTTATGCTTCCATCGGATTTGAGAGACTCCAGCCGACCTCTCATTTTCTCATCTGTCTAGAGGCGCCAAAAAGGAAAAACGGTGACTGGATATCTCGCTTCGATGGCTCTCGTGATTCCTGGACATCTCGCCGGCCTTTTCTGGTGGTTCGTCGCCTGGAGACGATGGTAAAGAGAGGAAAAAGAGCAGCGATTCCGGAGACTGCGTTGGTGTGTTGGGTAGTCACCGGGACTGCTGAAGAAGAAGATTCAGGTGTTGCTTGGTTTCATGTTGGGATTCGCAGCAGCGAGCTCGCCGGAAACGCTGTGCTTGAGGTCGCCGGTGATAAGCATATTTGGCGATTTGAGGTGGTGTAGTAGTGATGATTTTGTTTTGGGGCTGAAGTTGATGTCGTAGGGGTCGACGGGTGGTTAAATAGTGCTTCGTGGTCTAGAAGCAGCAAGCAACAAACGACAGGGCAATTCCTGTTGGCTGCGACATTGAGAAAACGAAGGTTGACAGGTACATCAGTTGGAGAAAGTGTTCCATCCGCCGGCGAGTTAGAGGTTTGAAGGTTGTTGCCGATTGTTGCTCACGAGTCGAGGAACATGGAAGTCGGCCACTGCCGCCATTGATGAGGGCGAGAGACGCTGTCAGAGGTTCTTTAGTAGAGTTGGAAGCGGCCGGTGGCAGGATGAGACGACCCGTAGAGACCCAAGCAGCCAACTGAGAAGAGATATGGCCTGGTGGGGCCCACCTTTCTTTTTGTCTTTTGTGCCATGTGGGGTTTTTCAAGACATGTAGCACGCTCCTGACACTGGTGTTCCTTTTTAGGTAGCATGCAGATGGTGGTACTGACCGTCTCTTCCCCCCATTTTTTTTATTGAAAGAAAAGAGAATATATTTCCGTTTTGACTGATTGACTGATGCTCTTCACGTGGAATACATGTTGTATTTTTTTTAGCAGTAAATTCTGAGTGTATAGGGTAAATTTGAGGTAAAATATTGAAATGTGATCTGGGATAAACAACTTTTTTGTTTTTGTTCGCTAAAAAGAAACACAAATGGTTAGTTATTCTTGTACACTATTCTTCTGTCCTCTTTTTCATTATTAATTTTTTTTTTGAAAACCAGTTACTGAAATGGCAACTAAAACATAAAGGTAACTTTGAGATGGGTTAAAAATGAGTAAATGGTGGGTGAAAAGCATACGAAATTATCAGATGAGAGTTCTGGAAGTTTAAGAACATAAAAAAGTTCATTTATTTTTACTTCAAGTTTTTAGACAACTTGAGTGAACTTGAAAATCGTAAACTAAATGAGATTTTCAGAAAAATACATGGACTGAAAGTGGGTTAAGACCCATCAAGACTTCTCCTCCCATCTTTTTTTTTGAAGGTTTTTTAAAAAAATGTACAAGACATATGGCTGTGTGTACAAACAATTGTTGCAGAGATGAGATTGCACACAAAAAATCGTAGCTAAAAACGATTTTTGGTAATATGTGAACTGAAGATGAAATAACAACTCTTAAAAACTTCTTTTCTCCCCACTTACTGAACAAATCCCATATTATAAATTAAAAACGAGTCTGATATGATATTGCTCAGAAATCTTCCTTTTCTTTTCAGCTTGCTCAACAAGCTATCAAGGTATAAGCAAGAAACAGATCCAATTTTTTTTTTGTTTTCCTTTCCTAAACTTTTTAGAGGAAACACCAAGAATATAAACAAAAGTGGGATAAGAACTCGATTTTTTTTTAAAATGTACAAACATCTCAGTTGTACTTACAAACAGCTGATGCATGTAGTAAAGTTGTTCATAAAAAATCTTAACTAAAGACGATTTCTGATAGTATATGGACTGAAATGAGGTAAAAACTCATAAAAATTTCTTTAATCTTCATCCTACTCAAGAAACCCCCAGCATATGAACCAAAACCGAATCTAAGAAGATTTTCACAAACTTGGGGAATGTTGAGTGAAGAAAATCGTATAGATACACAGATCTGAACTAAAAACGAAATGGATCTACAGATCCAAAGATTTGTGAAGCAAACTTGGACAGATCTTGGAAAAAACCAAGCAGATCTGAACAAATGATGGGGTAGAACTCATAGAGAACTTCTTTTCTTTTCAACTTACTGAAAAACCCCAAAATATAAACAAAAAAGGGTCTAACAAGGTTTTTTCTCACTAAACCTTCTCTACTCTTCAGCTTGCTCAACAGATCTGAAAATCTTTTGTTTTCCATCTCTAAGCTTCTAGAGGAAGCACCAAATAAACAACTTGAATGAAGTTGTACATGAGAAATTAGGAACCAAAACCGATTTTCTTGAAAATGAGCAAGCAAAAGAGATAAAGACTTGTAAAATATTGTTTGTTCTTCAACTTGCTAAATAAAATTCAAAAATATGAACAAGATGGGGAAAAACTCATAGAAATCTCTTTTCTCCCCAACTTTCTGAATAATCCATCAAAATATAGATGAAAATTAGATCTGATAAAGTCCTTTAAGACTTGAGAGTTGCTCAGATGAACTAAAACAAAACATATCTAGACATCTGAGCAAAAAACAAGGCAGATCTGAAGATCTAAGAGAGAAAACTCAAACAGATCAAACGATCTGAGCGAAAAAACAAGCAAATCAAAAGATCTGTGCATAAAACTAAGCAGATCAAGAGATATGAACGATGGTTAGACAGATCTGAAAAGATCTTGTCAAGAACCAAATCGATTTGAACAGATCTTGGCCAAAGCCAAACGGATCTGAACAAAATGATGTTAAACATGAACAGATCTGAGCAAACCTGAACTAAAGCACAACAGATCTGAACAGATCTGGGAGAAAAAACTAGCTTGAAACCAACTGAGGCTTTTGCTACTTGCTCGAATCCGGGATGGCGCCAAATGATGCGACATCGACCTCCAGCGAGTCTTCTGGTCTTCTGCTGCGGCGGAGATCTGGACATCACAATGCAAAGTCGTTAGAGCCGTCCCAGGGATTGTGCCCCGGGAGCGGTATCCGACGGTCAAGTTAGATCAGCTAGAAGATCTGAGATGGTCCTCCATAGCTGGAGAGAGTCATCTTGGTGCTAGTGGTGGTGTATGGTGGCTGACGGCGGCGGGTGGCGGCTGAGCCACCCGGCCGGAGTATACGATGGCGGCTGAGCCAAGGGGAAGCGTCCTAGGGAAAGGTCTTAGGGAAAAGGGGGCCTCCTTCATGGAGGATGCACTATTCTATTTATAGTGGACAATTAGGTCAAAGGGAATTGGGTCAGGCCTTGGGCCAGCCCAATTCAGGCCCAACTAGCAAGGAGCTGGGCAAGGCCGCCCGGAGGCGCCGGGCAGGGCTGGCGAGCGCACACCAGGGAAGGCTGGCGGGCGCGCACCAGGAAAGGATGGAAGGGGAGTGCCAGGCGAGGGAGCGCCTGGCCGGGCCGGCAGGAGAGTCCCCAGCAAGGCTGGCAAGGGAGTCCCCAGCAAGCCTCACAAAGGAACGCCAGGCAGGGCTGGCAGGAGCACGCCAGGCCAGGCTGGCGCGCTAGAGCAGTCTAGGCCATGCTAATGGACCATATATCATAACCAGGGTTTATACAACAGACACTAAATTCATAGTTGCCAGGGTTCATCCAACATGTGCTAAGTCCATAGCTCTCATTTATCGACAGTATTATTCACGGGAATCCACCTACAATACATGTCAATGGGTTTTTAGAGTACACCAGGTGAACATATTGTTCACAACACCTACAGGTTGCGAGCCTGCTAGTGTTCCACGGACCGTCTAGAATAATCCATGGTTGTCATCTATACTCTGCTAGATGACGGGGCCAACGTTTGGGTAAGAGCTTCTCTCATTTTTCACCCCTCACCCTCATCTCATGATCTATATCACTGATCATCTCATTTATCCAACTCATCTTTCATCACATACCAACTATTTCATCTACCCATGTTTTACCCAACATTTTGTAGATATAAAATATATATACCGTTTAAATCATTTAAAACCTGTATAAATCATTCATTCAACATCCATCTTAAATAAACAAACAATATATATTCACATAGCACGTATTTTATATAAAATACTTCATATCTATGTGTAAGATGAAAGTGACTATACACTCACCTGATGTGGTGGTGATTGGACAACACTTCGTTCCTTAAAACAATAGCTTATAAGAAAATGGAGGGTGTAAAGGTGTAAAATTTGTAAACAAAATCCGGAGAGTCTCGCTTTCTATTTATAGTAACCGAAGTTTAAATTACGTTGGGCGTAAACTTCATGTGCGCGGGGAGTACTGCCTTGCGAGGCTCTACGCTGGGCGTAGACCGAGTAGTACGCTGGGGGTACCGTGATACATGGCTCCGGACGTGTCAAGTGTGTGAGATACGTGTTGCATGCGAGGGAGTAGGCGACGTGGCCAATCTCGGACTGTGTACACGAGTACGCTGGGCGTACTCCGATTTTTCCAACTTCAAAAATTCATAACTTTAGCATACGAGCTCCGTTTTTGACATTCTTTATATCCATGTGTAGGTGCGACCGTGCTCTACAATTTTCGTTTAGACTCCGTCGGCTAATTTTGAATTTATTTTTAAATTTATATTTTTAACAGTTCGGGACAGGAAAAGTCCGTTAAAAATTTGTAACTTCTTCATCTGTCGTCCGTTTTCGTCTGTCTTTTTACCGTTAAACTACTATCAACGAGATCTTCGATTCTCGTTTAGGTTGTGTCGGCTAAAAATTGTTCGATCTATAATTCGAGTTCCGGACTGCATACTGCTATGCCAAATCTTAGAAAATTCATAACTTCCTCATACGAAGTCAGATTTGGACATTCTTTTTATGCACGCTCTCAGTTTAAAGTATACTACGACTTTCATTTAGATCGCTAAGGCTAAAAAGCACTTTATCGTAAATTCACTTTTTACTTCACACGGCGTCGTGCCGGTTCTGTCGCGAAACTTCGACAGGTCATAACTTCTTCGTTATGACTCAGATTTCGGTATTCTTTATATCTCCGGAATCCTTGTTTCAACCACTACAACTTTCTTCATAGATATCGGGTTTATCTAACATTTATTTTCGAAGCTTATTTTTATCCTTAATTTATTATATTATCATAATTAAATATAAGGTACATAAATTCACATAATTCATTATTATTACTTCAAAACGAGTTACAAATGTTGACCTAGACTACTACATCATCTTTAATGCTTTAGCCCAGAAATACGGGCGTTACAATTCTCTCCCCCTTAGGATGATTCCGTCCCTGGAATCATACATCAACAATCAAATGCGGATAGCGACTCATCATGTCACTCTCCATTTCCCAGGTGAGATTTGGCCCATTCGTATGTTTCCATCGCACAAGCACTAAATCGACCATCTTGCGTCGCAACTTCTTAGTCTTACGGTTAACAATTGCCTCTGGTTCTTCAATTAACCTATTGCTTTCATCCAATCTTAATTCAGAAATTGGAATTATGTCGGGAACTTCTCCCGTGAACTTCCTCAACTAACACACGTGGAAAGTGTTATGAATAGGATCTAGTTCTTCTGGTAGTTCTAGCTTGTAAGCTTGGTTCCCAAGCCTATGAAGAACTTTAACGGTGCTATAAACCTTGGACTCAACTTTCCTCTTTTACCAAATCTATAAGTCCCTTCCATGGCGAGACTTTAAGTAAAACCAAATCTCCAACTTCGAATGTTATCGGT